TTTTACAAAATACTAGTTTACTTAAATACAGCCAAGAAAAGTTACTTTGTCCTGACCAAAGGTCAGTTTTATTTTATTTGATATGGTAACATGAGCACACGTGAGTTGCATCATTATAACTTCTGCATTGTTAGCCAGGCAAGGCTGAAAGGTTAATATGATAAAAATAATATATATATATATATATATATATATATAAATGTATAATGTTATGAGATTTAAGCTATTTCGTCTAAACATTTATGTTTTCAATTTATAACTTGTGTTCATTGTAGAATGAAACTGGTATAATTTATGTTTATTTCCTAATTTGTTATGGTGGTTGCAAAATCAGTCAAATCTATCGAACCCATACAGAGATTAATTACTGAAAATAACAGATAAAATATTAAGTTTTTTCTTAAGAAATGTTTGCTAACTATCTGGACATTATAAAGATTTCACATTTGAAATTTCAAAATTTTCTGATGCATAGAAATATTTTTAATCTCATAATGAATATTAATTTGCATGATAGATAGGCAACATGCGAAAAGAAAAAAAAAAAGACATGAGAAAAACATTGCTTTACAAACCTTAAGACTTAATAATAAAAATTTATATTTTGCATATGAAAGCATTGTAATGTTTACTGATAATATTCCAAATTGCATTAACATTCGCTTACTAATTTAAAAGTTATAACATGAAAACTATAAGAAGCACAAAATGGTTACGAGGTCGGTCCCAGGCACTAAGTCCGTGCTGAAAGAATTAAGATATAAAAATACAATGAAAGACCTTGTGGGCAGAATCAGCATACAGCTACATGTTTTTCACATATAAAATTACATGTGTGCAAAATGTATGAACATTTAAATGTTTCAATTCTCACATTGGAATGCTAGAAATCAATTTTTCTGTTGTTGTTGTTCTATGAAAGGGAGACAGTATCAGTGTACATTTGTTTAACATAGAAAACAAGCTGGTGTGCTTTTCCCTCTACTTTTACATGTGTGTACATGTCATATTATGAAAATTGCAATAATTATCTAGTACACATTTCATTCCAATATTAAATTTAATCTTGTGTAATGATTAGAAGTATGAATTACCTCTCTCTATCTACAGTGAATTTTTCTTGAAAAATAACATACAAAATACATGAACACAGTGTTTTAACATTCAAATTTTCCTCTTTTTTGTGCACACAACAAAAACTGAATAAATTTCCAGTTATCAGTTTTGTTTATTTATTGTAATAAATTAGAATAATTACAGTGTTGTTAGTTTAGTTGTATTTCTATTACTAGCAAAAGTGAAATTTACATATAGTTGAAAGAGTATTTAGTGAAGATGCTTATTGAGATAGAGATGTGACCTGTATGTTAGTTATAATACTTCCATTACTGAAATCAGTTGTTTTTTTTTATACTGAAGCATCCAATGTTTGCTTGTAAGGAAGGAAAATTCAAAGAATTTCTTGAGTTGAACTGCCCAATTTTGCAAGAAAGATATTGGCCAACATTGTGGTGTTTCAGCACTCATGCACAGACTGTACTAGCACACTTGTTTCGAGGAAGACTTCCCAACTTACCATATCACAGGTCTGTGGTGCTTAGCTTTAAGTACATTATGTTCTAATAAGGTTTTTCAAAAATATTAATAAAGAGGAAGAAAAATATGTATACATGTTAATGGAAACATTAGAAAAATTAGAGTATGTTCTCATTTGGGTAACCTAGAGTTTAGTTCATACTGAAAGTTTTAAGAGACTCCAAAATAGAAGATTAAAGTTTAGTGTTGGATAATACATATGTATGGTGAATAAAAATGCTTTGTCACATTGCATAGTTTCTCTACAAATACAGTTTCTGTCCTGCTGACACATTCACTTTCTATACTTTCTTGGTAGCAAATTTCAGATGACACTGCATTTGCTGAAAATTTGTTTGATGATTTAAGGTTATGTTGCAGTCTTGTTTGTCTTTTTTTCTTTTTTTTTTGGGGGGGGGGGCAAGTGAAATTAATCAATAAAAGTTTTTCTGCTGTTATGGTGCTTAGAGACCCGTTTCATCTTTTCTGGTATGCCTTACAACTCATGCCAAACAAGAAAGTGTAATTGATAAGTTAACTACAAGTACAAAAAACAGATGTTTTACTTCTTAAAATAGTAGTTTGATAAAATTCAAGAAATGAATGAGAATTTCAATAATTGTGCAATGAAGTTGGTAAGGAAATAAACTGGTTTGGAACATCTAATGCCTATCAGAAATGTGGAAAGCAAAAGCTGAAATTAATGAAATTTTGGAAAAAAAGGAAGAACTTGCTTCTAAATAATTGCAACATATATAGAGCTGGGTAGTTAATTTGATAAATTGATATAATTGATTACCTGTAAACATCAATTAGTGTTATGTAAAATAGTCAATAAGTATAAATTATGCTTAAATCCATTAACAATCAACTAATCAAAATTACTGGTACATTACCTCCATTCGCATAATTAGCTATTCTCCTTTAGTGCTGCCCTCTATATGCAAAAAATATTTTTACACATGCCACTAGTCTTTTTCCTACCCTCCATTGGAAATTACTCATTCCAATGTGTCTCATCATGTGACAACCCTTCATCAATGAGAGTATCACACACCCTTGTTACATGTGACTCCCTCTATTCAATTCTACCAAATTATCACTTCTTGTTTGGCAGTGCTCGTGTGCTTTGTCATTGTAACTTTAACAGTTATATTTCCGAAATGGTTTTTAATCGTTTTTGATTATACAGCTGACAAATGTATTTTCAGTTTATTTTCCAGTTTTTAATTTTTTTGCATATTTGTATTAATCTCTCAAACAATTTGTTTGATTTATTATTTACCATGAATCCCGAAGTTAATATAACCACATTGGGTTTCACACCTACTATAAGCACGTTTTCACTGGCTGCAGGTGGGTGTGACCTGTCATTGGATTTATCTGCAATTATTCACCAACAGATTGATCATTATATGGGTCAATCACCTTCTGTTCGTTCTGATGAAGATTTTGATAGCCTTTTTCTACCATCAGATTTTGCCGTGTATTCCTATGCACCACCTACAGAATCAGCTAGGTCTAATACAGCATTTTTAACTATGATTTCTCAGAGATATGATGTTTTATCCCTTTCCCCAATTTCCTATGATCCCCATCCTCTGTTGCATGATTGTTCTTCTCCTTACTTAGTTTTCCCACTTTCCTCAGGTATTAGGGTTCGTGCTGAGCATTTTGCTTCCAATTGGATGAGGGTGCCAGCAAGCCTTGCCCCCCATGGGCTATTCCCCTGTGGTGATATTTCATCACAGAATAATGGATTATTTGGGTTATCTCAGACGGACTTGTCTTACAATTCCTTTCCTCCTTTGTCACAGATACTCATTTCCTTCCCTCTGTCTTGAGATCCCATTACCAGCCAGCATCTGTCAGAGGCAATTCAAGACCTTCTGTCTGAACAGGCCATCGAACCTGTGAATCATCTTTCTTACGGTTTTTATTTCAGGTTGTTTGTTGTCCCCAAGAAAACCAGAGACTGGCAGCCCTCATTTTACCATGGAATCGTTTCTCACCCTCAGGTGGGCTTTTTCTTCCAGGTGGATGATCAAGATGGTTATCACGAATGCTTACTTACATATACGAATAGCTCGGCAGTTGCAATCATATTTTCGATCTGTCCATCAGGGGATGATCTATCAGTTTTTTGTCGGATGGTTTGAGCTTTTGCTTATCTTCATACTCTAGGGATACATTTTCATTATTATATGGATGACTGGCTACTTTTTGTTCATTCTGTAAAGGAGTCTGCCTGTCATACTCTTCAGCTGCTCTGGGAGGTGTTTTCATTGGTCTGGTTAATTAAATTGGACAAGTCTTTCCTCCGACCTACCAAATATCTGATTCATTTGGGTGTTTTTTTTCAATGCCCATCTCAATCGGGCCCAACCTTCACCTATTTGACTTCATTTGATGGAATTTTCAGTTCACCACACTCTTAATCTTCCCTCTTTTACAGCTCACAAGGTTCTATTGCTTTTAAGGATGTGGTCTTCCATGGTTGCACTTATCCCCTTGGGTCATGCTCAAATGCGAGATCTTCAGTGGGTTTTTCACAACCAATGGAATCTTCCACAAGATACTTTACAGGCTCTGATTACCCTTCCTCCTACCATAGTCAATGATTTGCATTGGTAGTTGGACAGGACCCACACATCGGCAGTGTTCTGCTTCCTCCTCCTCGTCCAGGCTTACAAATTTCCATGAATGCTTCCCTCCAGGAATGAGGGGGGTCAGTCAACAGAAGGCTTCAGGGTGTTGGTTTGCAACCGAGAAGTCTTATCATATAAACACTCTGGAGCTTCTTGCTGTTCATCTGGCCTTGGATAATTTCCTCCATCTGGCCAGATGTCATCTGGTAATGATTCATTCCAAAAATTCCATAGTGGTTTCTTATCTCAATCACCAGGGTGGCAGCCATTCTCAATCTCTATGTTTCACATGTTGGATCTTCTTTTCTGGGCCCACATGCAGCATATCCATATCATTGCATGTCATGTTCTAGGTGCTTTCAATCTTGTTGCAGATTGTCTTTTGTGTTCAGACAGAATCTATCTGATGGAGTGGTATGGTTTTACAATGGCTTTGCCTTCAGTGGGGTACTCCTCACATCCTTCAACCACAAACATCTTCTGTTTTGTTCTCCAGTCCCTCATCCTCTTGCCTGGCTATCAATGCTTTCAGTCAGGATTGGATCAACAAATACCAGTATGTTTATGCTCCCATTCGACACTTTCACTGGGTGATTTTGATCATCCATACCACCCCATGTCAGGTCCTTCTGATTGTTACTTACTGGACTTCTCAGCCATGGTTTCCTCGATTTATCCAACTCCAAGTTACCCCTCCACTACCTCTTCCTCTGTCTCCCTTTCTTTGGCAACCTTGGTCATCAGTGTTTCATCCTGCTCTTCCTGTCCTCCATCATCATACTTGGTTTTTATCCAGTCCTTGGCAAGGAGATCGGGATTGTTTTGACGTGTAGCTTCATTTCTGGCCTGTTCCAATAGACCTGTCCTTCAAGACTGGGATGTTCATGTGGTTCTCCATTTCCTCACTTTGCCTCCAGTTGAACTGCTTCCCACATGCTCCTTGTTTCACCTTTCCCGTAAGATTTATTTACTTCTCCTATTAGCCTGTGGACATTGACGGTCTGATTTATTTGACATCGATTTTCACGTACTCTTTGTCATCCTACTTATCCTCTCCTTTATCTGGATCATTCTTTCCTCCCTAAAACCTCAATGGCTACAGAGGGTAACTCATCCTTTTCAGAAATTTCTCTTCCTTCCATTTCCCACCTTTTTCCTCGGCCTGACCCGGATAGACTTCTATATCCTGTACGTGCTCTTCAATGCTATATTGCCTGTATAGCTTCCATCTGTGGTGCCCGTTCCTACCTCTTTATTTCATGGCAACCATCCTCTATTCGTGATCTTTCTCCTTCCACCCACACCAATTGGGTTCAGCTTTTGATTCAATTGGCTTATTCCTCTCTTTTGTTGTCCTCCCATACTTTGTTCCAGGTGTCTTCTCATCAAATTCAACACCTTACCTTTAATCTGGCATCTCATCTTCATCATCCATTGGAGGAAATTATTCAGTTGGGCATGTGGACTACACCTAATACATTTATTATTTGCATAGGGTTATCGTTTCTTCCTCTTCAGGATATCATCTTACACCTGCAGCCATTCTTCAGACTTCTGTGCGACTATAAGACTGGGTAAGTTATATTTATTCTTTTTTATATTTTTCAGGGGCTTTATTTCTCTTTCCGTCATAATTCTCATTGTTTGGATTCCACTCTGTGGTGAGTGTTGCTTGACCAGGTATTCTTTAACCTTTAAAATCCACACTGTTAACCATATTGATGAGCTTAATATGTTCCATGGCCACGCAATGCACACTGTTGAGATGGGGTGTAAATTGCTTCATATATATGCCCATTCTGGACTGTACCATCCATGTACTATATGGGTAAAGCAGAAGGAGATAGCTGCCCATCCCTGCCATGCCTTGTATTGAATAGATTGGTATGGTCTGCTTTTAAAAATAGGGTTTTGTGGTCACCAATTTCACTGTCTCAGGTGTTGACGTTCCTCTGGACTCTCCACTGCATTTCACCCCCGCCCCTTTCTTCTAGTGGAGTGTCGGAGTCCTTACCACTTTCCAGTTTTAAGCTGCTGGGGTGGTGGACCATGAAGGCATCCTCCTGATAGGTTTAATGACATCAGATAGTCATTTGATAGATGAAAACCTTGACTTTCTATTGGTTATAGGATAATATATAATGAAACGTAAGAGAGAACTATTAACGAATTCTGAAAAAGAGGATGTGGCAGGAGGGGTCTGATTTTCTATTTGATAGCTCTGTAAAAATTTTGAAAAATTATTGTTTGTTTGAGCAATAATGATTTTATAGAGAGTATTTTACATTTAATTTTGTACTTTTTCGAGTGGTGGTGGATAAAATAGGGATGATGATATGCTAAGCGAAAATTTGTCACATGGGTCACACTAGTGGAAATTCAGAATTTTTTTAAATATTGCCTTGTAGAATTAAGAACTTAAAACTTGTATACAATTAAAATATGGATTATTAGCTAAGACTTAATGCTATTCTTATTGGTATAACATAAACAAATAGTAGTTTAATAGCATTTTTAATGTAACACATTAAAACCTTGTATCATGCGCAGTAAAGGATACCCGAGGCAATAGGATTAACCGACTAGTGACCCGATTCATGAAAATCATTTCTGAATGTTATTATTTTTGTTTATTCCAACTAAAGCTATTGAAGTCTCATGTGAGAATAATCAGTTAGTTGAATATGATTGGTTAATGAGCCTGATGATTAATAGGTTATCAAATTCTAATTACCCAACTCTAAACCTATCTTAGTAAAATTGTTATACTGTAATAGTTTTTATTGTTATTATGATATTTCAGGAAAATATATTTTAAACCTGAAGATAGCATTAAGTGCATTTGTGCAAAAATATAAAATTGCATATGAACGATGTTAAATATCATCACAAAAAAGAATCCATACCAAAGCCATTGAGTAGAAAAATGCTTAATAATGCTCTAATCAGACATGTTTTTTGAAAAAAGAACTGAATTGCTTTCATTAGTGGATGTCACAGCACATTATATGCTCAGACTTTTCCCTTGGACAATGAAAATTGGATATTTGGAAGACCCTGGGATAACCCTTTGTTTACGGCTTCTGACTGACCTAATTTTATTTCTACTACCTCAACAATGTTTTCACTATTCTTATCTTGTTTTTTTTAAATAAAATTTTGACATGGGGTTATAGCTTTAAATTGCCTTTTGAATCCTTTTAGTTCACTTGTAATGAACAGAAGAGTAAATTGTGACATTTGCAAGTCAAACTGTCATTGGCATAGTGAAACATTTTGATTGTATGTTGCTAGTTTAAGATTAAGAAAAAGTTTTGAATTTTTATGTATACTATTAGTGACAAAATTTCTCAAAACAGTGAACACTTAAGTTGAGGAATCATAGCAACTTCCTTTAAAGCATATTTGCTCTAAAGTTATGGGAAACAATACATACATATACATGTTGTACTGACCATTTTATTCTACACTAAGAATAATTGAAATGTTAATACCAATATCAGGATTCATGAAATACAATATTTTTTAGAACTTCCATAAAGTTAAACACAATTAAACTCACAATTCTAAAATGACTTTTACACTTTGCTTGGTGTATTCTTCCTTTTCCCTAGATGTTTGTCATCTTTTTTGTGTTTTTTGCCATCAGATCTGTCACCTTACCATGTCCCCGGTTAATATTTTTCTGTCTTTTTTTGAAACGACTAAATTGGGCTACTCCATTTGTTTTTCATTTCATTAGAGCAGCCTTTTGCTACATATGTTTTGGATCCCACTTAGTATCAAATCCACACTGTATGTTCTGTGACCCTACTAAATGATTATAATGTTGAGGAGCTTCCTACCATGGATGTGATGTACAATTCCAGTGCTAGCAGGTGTTGATTGTTTGACTTTGTCTAGTTGTCATCTATGCATCAATATTACATATTATACTTGCAACAGTATAACACTTCACAGGATTGTATTACTCACACCGTTGAGATGGGATGTTCCATAGGACCAATCGTAGATGTATCTTGTGGTCTTTTGCTTCATAAATATGTTTTTCTTGGACTATCAACTCATGGACTTCATGGGTTAAGCAGACAGGGATTGCTGCCCATCTCTGATGCTCCATGGTGTTGAGTCTTTTTGTACCACAATTCCAGACACCACTAGGTGTTGGTTGATTGACTCTGTCCACATGGTAGCTCTGGTTTTCAAAATTGGGTATCATCTTAATGGAAAAACATATGCAAGTGTGGGAGGTGTTAAAGAGGACATCGACATGTTTTTTGCTTCAAAGCTGAGTGATTTCTTTAATCAGGGCATTAACAACCTGATTGTAAGATGAAAAAGCATCATCAATAAGAATGGAGACTATTTCATCTAATAAATGTTTTGTTTTCATATATAAGTTTGGGTTTTTCCATCTAAAAAAAAGCGACATTAATTTCTTTACGACCTAATAAATTCAAAATGATACTCAACATTCTGTCTCCAGTATGGAGTCAGTTCAATGTAATGACCCATTGCATGTACAGTTGAGCTGAAAAAAACTTTAATCAGTTTAAAATATACACCTGGAAAAAAGTTAAGCACCCCCATGTTTTTTTCAAGTGATTCAGATTCGACGTTCTTGTGACTGATTATAAATTACCATTCAATCTAAACGTGTTTATCAAATG